AGCTTGAGTTCTACCTGAAACTCACGATAATTTTTTCGATCTTGAAGTTTTTCCTCCCCATTTGCGTGTTCGTTTCATGTNAATTAATGGAAACCCAGGATATAAAAAGAAAATTACCTGAAGAATTTTTGATTAATCGTGAATGGGCCGGACCGGGCCAACTGGCGAATTTTGCTTCCTCTAGCTGCCTCACTGCTTGTTGGCAATATGAGTCCACTTCCTGAAACTTGAGAAAGTTAATTTTTAAAATTAAAAAAAATTAATTTAACAGAAATTCTGGACGTTCTTCCCTCCTTTTTGATAGGGTTTTGCGATCGTTTTGACCTAGTTGAGTTGCCCTATTAAGTACCACGCACCCAATGATTTCACAATGGCTAAATCGGTAAAGCATTTGCCTCAAAATCGAGCGATGCGAGTACGACTCCCAACAATGGATTTATAACCTCATAGATAAATTGTCAGCTTGAGTTCTACCTGAAACTCACGATAATTTTTTCGTTCTTGAAGTTTTTCCGCCCCATTTGCGTGTTCGTTTCACGTACCTTCGTTCATCATGCTATTTGATGTACTAAGAAATAGATTTAACTAGTAATTATTAGTAATGTTTTTCAGATATTATACTCGTCAAACCATTTGGATAAGAAAAATCCGCGCAAATTCGTGAAAATCCGGAGGAATGGGCAAAAAACAACATCAGAAAGATAAGCTGTAAGTTCATTCTTGTAGATTCTCATCTAAATAATTGGTCAGAAAGCCATAAAATTATTCAAAAACAGCATTGAAACAGTTTCATCAAACGTATCGTTGCGTTACACTGAAATTATCATCCATATTCAGCTGTTTTCAATGTTTTCTTCATTGTACGATGCTGTTTTTCATCATTAAAACCCGTCGAAGATATTTCACATCGCAAAGGTCTAATTTCCAATCACTAAACCATACATTAATCGTTATAATCTCGAAAATCACTGCAGATATTTGACGACAACAGAATGGAGAGAAACATATGGAGGCCATAAAGATGGTAAATTTTGATTTCGTCTTAATGATTACTTTTTTTTCAGTTTACTTTAAAGAAAAAAATGGTTTTAACGTAATTTTACGATGAAATCTTGAATGAAATTGATGATCTTACTGTGAAAAGTGGATAATTTACATAATTGAAATGAGATTCTGTCGTTTAAAGACGATTTGTGTTAAATTCAGATACGGATAGAAGAATACAGCGGGCCGTCTTCAAACGATTACCGTTCTCACATTGTGCACTCTCGTTTCTTCCATTCGAGGATCCCGTTTGTACGCCTGATGGAATCATATTCGACTTAACGTATGATCTTTTCGTTTTCATCACAAATGACTAAATAGCCAGAGTATATAAAGTATAATATAATCAAGATAATAAAGAGTATAATAAAGTATATCAGAGTATAATAAAAGATCTTCTTTTAAGGCATATTGTACCATATTTGAAGAAGTATGGGCAGAACCCAGTCACTGGTAAAAAGTTGTCGTCAAAAGAGCTGATTCCGTTGAAATTCGACAAGGATGAGCAAGGTGAGTTAGGAATTTATTGAGAAGTATTGTTAGATTTAAGAGAATGGAATTCTTGATTTCGGATCCAAGATAATGCATTTTCATTTGAACTCAAAATCAGGTGAATTTTAAGTGACTCAGGTAAGATGGGAGAGCATTTGTTAACTTCAGTTTTTCCGCATTGATATTCGTTTGTTGGATGTATATTGAGCTGAAATCAGGGAAGTGCAAAAGCTTAAGAAATAATTTTTATGTGGTTTTTGTTAAAGTGATTACCTTTAGGTAACTTCCGATGCCCAGTAACTTTCAAAACGTTCACGCCCAACAGTCATATTGTGACGATTCGTCAGACTGGTAATGTCTATGCGATGGAAGCAGTTCAAGAGTTGAATCTGAAAGCCGGATATCTGAAAGATTTGCTTACCGATCAGCCATTCCAACGAAAGGATATTATCACACTGCAGGTGGGTAGATGCTTTTAGATCAGTTTACGTTTAATTTTGATTCGTTTTCAATTTTAAGAGTTTAGAAAGTCGCCAGTAACTGTCATAAGCAACCTGGATCTGCTCATGCAAAGGGGAAATGATAGGTTTTATCTTCAAATTCCAAGCGGTTAAAGAATATGTTGTCTCTTCTTGCATTAATCGGTCTTAAAGCCAGAATTCCTCAGTGAATAAGTTATGGCTGCTTTTTGAATAGTTATTTGGTTGTACATGAGGAATTCATTAACAGAGAAATTTTCAGGATCCGAACAATCTGGAGAAATTCAATATGGAGAGTTTTCTTCATGTGAAGTTGGATCTGAAAACGAAGACAGAGATTGAAGCAGAAAAGAAAGCGATGAAAGATCCGAAATTCTACATACGAAGTATGAACAATGAAACGAAAGAAACACTGGAGAAGCTTCAGAAAGAATATACTCCAATTGAGGTATGCATTGAAAGTGTTTGTTGTTCAATTCCTTTCCGTATTTCATGTTTATAATAAGAAATAGACCTGCTATTGCATATGGCATTCATGCAATATTTGTTCAGCAATGACTTGAGTTTCCATTAAAAGTTCTCGAGGTTCATAGGCAAGTTTTAGGCTTTGCAAAATGGAAACGGTGATGAGTGGTTATAGAAATAGTATGATGTTGCTCAAGAAATTAGGATATTGGTGATTTTTTATGAAAAATGTTTCATTTTATGTGGTGTCATATGATTGAGTGAATCGGATAGGAATAAGTTAGAGAATGTACTTAGTTGTTTGGCATATGATTGGTGTTAATGTTCAGAAGAAAGAGGAGAAACCTGAGGTGTTGGCTGATGAGTTGAGTGCAGCACATTACAGTCAAGGACGAGTGGCTGCAGGCTTCACGTCAACAACACTTGATCCGGTGACACAACATAAGGCGGCCGTGTTGGATGTAGAAACTGTGCGGTGAGTCTCGGTTAATTTGAATGTTTTATTTGGTAGTTATCGAGAATTGTGTGTTCGCTTGATTTATCAGATTTATGTCTGTTATATTCGTTAAGGGTTACGGAAGTAGGACGTTTAAATACTGCCTAATTATATCGCTTGTTCTGGTTTTATGATTGATATTGTGGTAGTAGGAAGGGGGATTTGTTAGCATTGGGTTTGGATTGAGATATATTTTCAAGTATATTTATTTAGTGACAAATGGTGATATATATCAGAAAAATAGTGGTATATAAAAGGAAAGGAGGTATTCATTGAAGATGGATTAGAATAAGGGATAGTGAATGAGCTATTGAATTGAAGATTTTCTCTTGATAATTGTTTTGAAATTTCACGATATCCATATAAGGTGAATGTGTATTCGCCTTTCATTTAGCGGTAATTTTGCAGGTATTCTCGAGTGACGAAAAGTGGATACGTTCGAATTGTGACAAATTTTGGTGCAATTAATTTGGAGTTATATTGCAAGCAAGCACCACGTGCTTGTGAGAATTTCATAACGCACTGTAAGAATGGCTATTATAATGGCACAAAATTCCATCGTGTCATACGACATTTTATGGTGAGTGATTGTTGATGAGTATATTCGCTGTGACTCCGGTTTTGGTGCGATTGTGTTGATTTGAGATGTATCAGTTAAACTTGGTGAGGTGCGGTCCTCTTAAGTGGGAGTTAATGTTATTTGGATGGAGAATTTGTTTGGTATTTAATGTTACGAATGTTGAAGAGCGTACAGGTTTCGGAATTTGAGCTGTTCGACCGAAGGGTTTCTTCTAGAGTGTATATAGAATTTGTTTGTGTGAAGGTGAAAGTATCATTTGTTTTGCTAACAGATGCAAGGCGGTGATCCAACTGGTACTGGCAAAGGCGGTGAATCCATATGGGGTAAGCCGTTCAAGGATGAAATCAATCATGCGTTAAGTCATGATCAACGGGGTATTTTGTCGATGGCGAATCGTGGAACAGATACAAATCAATCGCAGTTGTAAGTAATTTGCGGAATGAACCTTTCCATTGTATCCGCATTCGTTTGATGGAATATGCGTCAAGTTTTGTGTTTTTTCGGAGTTACGAAGAAATGATACAGCATTAATCGTAACTATTGATTCATTCAGTGTTCTCGTTGATGGAAATTTAGCTTAAGTTTAAATTTGAATGATTGATTCGGTTGATTTGTCGACGACTGTTTGTGTTGAATCTTTCTCTTCTGACACTCTTCTGATGTTTTCTTTTTGAAAAGTGAATTTAATTTCAGTTTCATGACATTTCGGGCGTGTAAATATTTGGATGGTAAACACACAATTTTTGGTCGTGTGGTCGGAGGCACGGATACGTTAACCGCAATCGAGAGGTTAGAAACTGAGCCGACGACTGATCGACCTATTGTGAGTTGTTAATTTTTGTTGTCGTTTGTTGTCGCTTGTTTTATGGATTTATTTTTTTATTTGATGTGAAGTTGAAATCGTTAGAATAAGATAAACTCTTTGAAATCGATTGGTTTTGAAGCCGTACAAATATAGCGTTGATTTATTAAGTTGGTGTGGATGTGAGCAGTCGGAGGTTGAAGAGCTTTTGGTAGAATTTAGCTTAATGATTTGTGTTTTGACAGATGGATGTGATATTTATGGCCGCTGAAGTGTTCGTGGATCCCTTCGAAGAGGCCGAAGCGGCAGTGCAAAAAGAACGAGAGGAGATTCGTTTGAAAAAATTGAAGAAGGATAGAAGTGGTGAGGATAAAGCATTCTGTTTTATTTTGTTAGTTTGTTTGTGGGAAATTATGTTTTATTTGGGGAAAATTTTGAACGTTTGTAATGTTTTGAGAACTTTTTTGAATTTAATTCTTTGGATGAGAGTAAGGAATCAAGTGATGATCGAGTTTATTAAAAGTTGCAGAAGCCGTATCAGCACCAGTAAATGCTACACATTTGCCGAAGCAAAAAGTCTATGGTTCTGGGGTCGGGAAATATTTAAATCTCGAAGAATTCATACCAACAGTGGCGCAAAAACGGACCAAGGATACAAGTGATACTGGGCAGGAGGAATCGGTGTTTGGTACTGCAGCAGCACAAGTGAAAAAGAAGAAGAAAGCAGTTCGATCGGAATTGAAAGATTTCAGTAAATGGTGATGATGAATGTCTTTGTGTTGTGTTGATATATTCTGAATTTGTATTTTTTGTATAATGTTTACTGGAAATGTGTGTTTGTATAAAGGATTTTATGAATATTTTGTGTGTACATGACAAGCGTTTTGTTGTGAGAGATTGTGTGATTCGTCCAGATAGCAAAGTGGGGCATTAGTGAGAATGGTTTGTGTTTATCAAAGAATTTGTCTGTGAGTGTGGTGGGACTGATGTTGGAGAGGTGGAATGGTCACTGCATCTGCGGATTACGGAACTACGGAACATGTTAGAGCTCTAGGCAGACCTTATGAGAGGTTTTGTAAGGGTTTGGTAGTGGTTTAGCATCGCCAGGAGTGGCATGTGAGTGATATGTCCGATTATTAAGGCCGTACTACTTACAGTTAATAATAGCACAGTTTGAAAACATTGATGTTTCAATTTGTCATCATTGTAATGAATTGGAATTCAATATTATTGTAATAAAATAGATTTGAATTTGATATCTTACGATTAGTATGTCGATAAAATTCAGTTATCGATGAGAGATCGGAATTCAATGAAGGATTAATCAAATACACTGAATAAGTAGGGTTGGATAGCTGTGATGATTTCAAATCAAATGTGAGTGCTTACGTATGGTTAAAGTTAGTGAATTGATGTGGTTAGACGTAGAAATTTATTTTATTGATGAGAAAAATAATTGTGAAATAATCATTTAAGATGTAAGCAAAATTATCTCTCATTCATTGCAAATGTTAGACGAACGGCTGACTCGAATATCAACTCTATATTCTATACAAATCTTTTTAAGTGAGTTAATATTATAATATAACAGAACAAATGGGCAAGCTCTTTCGTCTGAACACTTTTCTAATGGAAACTCTCCACAAAATTGGTAATGAAAGACAATGTCTCGTGTAGTGATCCCATTCCTCCTTGGAGTATCGGGATACCAGTTCGTAAGATAGTAGTTTGATGATGAAGTATAGTCTCATCAATTCAGGAAATATCACAATAAATTAGCAAAAAATCTCATCTCTATCTCCTATTATGCGAACGAGATGGAGATGAGACCTTTCTCGGATCAATTTTTTGGAGGGACGCATCACCCTCAAATGGGATTCTTATCCTTATGCTGGGGATTATTATCCTTATCAGGCCGATCACTTCGCTTTAGAGTGCAGTTTCGATCCACGAACGAGACCGAGTTGTTTAACGATACCGTACTGATCTGGGATCTCGAGAAGCGATTGAATCGCAAATGATAGTTCACCACTTTGGATACCTTTCGCTTTGCGCATGACATCATGGAATTCAACAAAATGAAAATTGTCCCATGGACGTTTTGGGAGCGAA